AAAAGAGGTTGTGAGTTGTGCGCGGCCCGGTGAGCTTCCCTGGTGTTGCTCGCACAGCTCTCACACACGTACACACGCATCCAGACGCCCGTCGCGAACCAGCCGACTGGACACGCACACGTACACCTGAGCTGTGCGACGCAACTCCGATATGATACTCTGCTGGGTAGAGCTTTTATACCGTTCAAGGCTGCATACTCGCACCATGGTGACCTGGATGAACGGTGTGCAAGGCTGCAACTGCAAGCACCGGAACGGATCCCCGAAGCCTGAAGAAGTAGTACTAGTCCGTGACTCGTCGCGTGAGCCAAATCTCAGAATCGGCGCATCGACCGTTGCACCCAGAGCTAGAGAGGGACAAATCGTCCTTCAGCACACCGCTTCACGATGGTATCCTGAACTAGGCTGAAGCGATTTCCACTTGTTGGACAGTTCGAAACTGATCCAGGGAGGTCACAGAAGACGCCAAACATCCAACTAACTAACTTAAATTTCTTTGCTCACTGACAGCAGCGGCCATTTTCGCCTTCTTCGCTTGATTTTTTTGCGCTTGTTCACGGATTCTCATTTTTTGAAGCCATGATCGATACGATCGTACCACGACGGGCCGAGAAACCAGTGCACAAAACTAGATTAGAATTTTTTTTTGCCGCTGAAAATTATGAATCGGGATGCAAACTGCATGCAGCAAAGTCACTACTGTGAGTACTGACTACTGTTTGTAGTTACAATGCAATCGTTCAGATCAGAACTGACTTCCAAGAATGTCCTAAATATCTCTCGACATATTTGTTCACCACTTCCTAGGCCAATAGGCGTAGTAGACTGTAGTGAGTAACCTTCTGGAGCAAATGACGACTGCCCCGAGCATGAACTTCTTTTCATCCTGTTCAAGGTCAAATATTACTCAGTTTGCGTTGAAGAATAACAATTACATTCGTGAATGGCCGAACTGAGAAAACCCTCATGATTTCTCTTGGATTTCGTATCCCAAGTTCCTCTACTTGGCTGGATAAATCGCCTCTTGACTTCATCATACTGGACTGGAACTTGTAGATAATAGCGAGCAATGAATTGGTGAGTGAAGTATATTTCAAAAGTAATAACCACTCGATTACTGAATAGTAGTGAATACGTAGAATACTCCAGTATTATAATGATATGAACACTGAAGCTAATGTGACATTACGGTAGTACAATAGGAAGTACGTCACCACTGTTGTAAATGCACGCGCTGATCCTATCCAACCTGACGGCCAATGCAAGAGGTTGGAATTGGCTATTGATTTCCTAACACACTCCTACAGCACCAAAAGCTATCTGCCATTGCTCATTTTCAACTCAACATAACACAGTTGCAAATCACCAGGTGCACATCTTGGCACATAATGTGTGCTGTCGCAGTCCACCGCAGAACATAGTAATCCACAGATAACTACCGATATAAGATGATGTCACATACATGCATGCATGCGCGCGCACACACACACACACATGAAGCAGCTGAAGAATCCGACTATACAGTCTCCCAGGCATGCACGCTCGCACACACACATGAACCAGCTGCCGAATCCACACAAACACGCGCGCGTGCGCACACACACACATGAACCAGCTGCCGAATCCGACTATGCAGTCTCCCAGGCACGCGCGCACAAACACGCTTATGCGCGCGCGTGTGTGCGCGCACACACACATGAACCAGCTGCCGAATGCGACTATGCAGTCTCCCAGGCACGCGCGCGTGCGTGCGCACACACACACATGAACCAGCTGCCGAATCCGACTATGTCAGTCTGCCATGACTCCGAAACCAGCGAAGACATACGGTGCATAGGCTGCTGCCAGACTGGTCTGCTACAGGTTTGCGACGCTCTTGAGTACACTTGTGGCATGGCAGGCCGCTCTTCGAAAAGGAAACGTTACAAATACTACACTGAATCCGATCACGGGAGGCCGGCTGTGGTGGTGAAGCAATTCTGAATGCTGTGCGCCACTCTCCTCGCTGCTGTGCAGTGTGGAACCAATGTCCTTCAAGATGTAAGTGATGGATGTCTCTTCGGACGACACATCACACCAATGCTGTCGGGTTTCACACACACACACACACGGCGCACACCTTGTCGACAATTGCAGAATCTAAAACCCACCAACGACCTGAAACACGGATCGCACTGGCCGCAGTGGCTGTGGCAACACCGTGCCCCAACACCAGTAGTAGCCTGGGGTGGTGTCACCAACAAAGGAAAACGCCTAGCACGCACATGCACGCTCGCACACACATGCACGCTCGCACACACATGCACGCTCGCACACACATGCACGCACGCACACACACACACATGCACGCGCATGCACACACACACACACATGCATGCGCCCACACACACAAACACGCGCACACATGCACGCACACACACAAACACACGCACACCCAGAAATGTGCACACAAACACGTGCGCACACACACATACACAGCTAATGGTATACAGTAGTATGTTGCCCGCAAAGCAACCAGGTGCTCTGGCTTGGACCTCCAGCAGCGCTGGTTTCGCCCTCGCTACTTGTCGTCTTGCCCTCTCCAGTGCTGCCTGCAACAAAACATTCCCTTCCGGAAACTCTGGGTGGACCAGTTCTCCGTGTTGTGTTTACACCGTGCTCTGCTTTCATAATTACCGGTATGGCATTCGTTGTTCGTATCAATCACTAAGCTCCTGGTAGGTGGCCCCTTACTGGCCTTAGGATGTGGCTCTGGGTTCACTACTACATGCACATCACTGTCAGCAAGTATAGACAAAGCAAAATCAGAGGCACTGGTCTTCTCCAGGTTTGCAATTGCTATCACATGCGGGCAATTGGTGTAGCACTTTCCATGATACCAGCCACACCATTTACTCCTTCCTGAGCTCTTGTGCTGGCAGAGAAAAGCCCAGATATGGTCGTCCTTCTCTCGAGCAGCGCTGACGATGCGACACCAACTTGTAGTCTCGATAATGAGTCGATATTACTCACTGCAGGCTTCTCGTTTATACTAAATTGGGCGCTGTGACACAGACACAAAATTCCAGCAATATTACTCCGCTGGGCTGTCATTTGCCACTTCGTTGCCGTCAGCTGCCTCATCCAGCACCTCTTCTTCCATTGTTGTCAAAACAACATCAATGTACACGAAAGGAACAAACTTCAATAAAGTGATCACAATATCCCAAGTCGATATTGTCGTCAACGTCGTCATCTTCTAAAAAATAAATTATTTTCCTCACTCCACGCGAACTGTAGCAGTGCGCTACGTAATTCTATACAAAAGTCTGGATTCGTGAATTTAGAACTAACTTCGAACGATTGAATCTGGTGTCATAACTAATGTTACTTTGTAGATTACAGAGAGGACAGAAACATTACTGTTTGGCTCACAACCAGAGAGAGAGAGAGAATGGAAGCAAGGCAAAAGGCAAGGAGCGGCGAATTCTGCTCACCTGCTTGCTGAATACGGTGTACGGTACAACTATACCAAAAGGGAAGGCCAGCGGCGCACTGGAATCTAGTTGTACACAGCTGTAGTACGCATGCAAATAAGAGTTGGCACCTATGAATTCAGGGGATGGCCCACGCCTGGTAAAAAGAAAAAGAAAGAAAAAAGAATGTCTGGCACCTATGAATTCAGGGGATGGCCCACGCCTGGTAAAAAGAAAAAGAAAAAAAGAAATCATAACAAAGAAAACTAAAGAAAAAAGAATGCAAATAAAGGATCGATAATACGGTGCGGAAGTGAACGGCGCATGCTGATACGGTAAAGCGGTCGTAATACAGTCGACCTACCCTTATAACGATATTTGCGTCAGACCAAGAAATATTGTTATAAGGGTAATATTGTTATAGGGGTTAGGGCCTGGTCAGACTGCGGCAAAATCGAAATAATCCTAGGATTATAATCCGAATCTCCATAGTAACTTGCCGCCAGAGCGGCAAAAGCGAGAGTTGACGCTCCAAAAAAAAAGCAAGAACGGGCCACGCTTTTCCGCTCCAAACAGGATTTGACGCTGATACGCCATTGACGCTGATAATCACTGATTTTTTCATCTCGATATCGAGGAGCTAATTGGCCACGGACAACAACAAAACTCATAAGGATGGTTGCAAGGATTGCACTGAAGGTGTTGGCGATCCCCAAGGTGAAGGAATTTGACGTCGTTCGTGGAGACTACCACTTGACGCTCGAAATGAAGTTTGAATTTTCACTCTCCCCACATGTGTAGTGTGATCGCGATTCAAATTCTGGACGCTGTTCTGTTTTCGTCAGGCAACCAAAATTTGCCGCAGTCTGACCAGGCCCTAACTGGTTCATTTCATACACATACGTCATAATACATGGATTTTGTTCATTTTTTACGCTCTTCATAGCATCAAAAACTATCGTACATGCACATTATGTACATAGCAAGGTGCCCACTGGTGCCCCCATTGCATTTCGTCATATCCAAGCGACTTATCAAGTGAAGCTTGCCCTACCTGGATAGTGAGCTCTATAATCCCGCTAGATATTGTTATAAAATGGAAAATGTCGATTGGTCAGCCCATTTTATATCGTTATAGGGGTAATATCGTTATAGCAATATTGTTATAGAGGTAAGGCATTGTATACACAAGTCAATGGAGTGATTTGGTTTGGCAGAAAAATATCGTTATAAGGGTAATATCGTTATAGAGGTTATCGTTATAAGGGTAGGTCGACTGTACATATAAGTGTGACCGCGAGACAGGAGAATTTCATGAAGCCAATAATTATGAGAATTTCATTGAAACCGAAGTAAATCAGGTCATGTGACCGAGAATCCGCTACATTACTCCCCTGCCAGTGTACAAGCCGGAGGCAGGAAACGACAACCGCAACGTAGTAGAAGAAGCGTATAAAGGAAGAAAAAAAATGAAAACCGCACGGCAACGGGAAAAGGTCCGACATAAACGGCCAACGGCGACAAAGAACGGAGGAGCCCAGCCGATCAGGTAGCAAAGCGAACAGCACGTGCAGGGGGTGGGGCAGCAGCAGCAACCGGCGGGACAATCAGAGAAAGAGCAGAAGCAGCAGCGGCTGTAACAGGCAGAGCATATGCGGGCTTCAAGCGGTCAATGCTTACCTGGTCGGACTTGCCCTTGACGTCGACCGTGAAATGCTTGTCAGCACGCTTGAGGACCCGGAACGGACCAGTGTACGGTGGCTGGAGCGGCTTGAGGACACTGTCGGTACGGATGTACACAAAGTCGCACGTTGACAGATCCTTAGGCACGTATACTGGGCGGTTGGACTGGCGAGGGCCGACGTCTGAGGGCCGGATGTTGTGCAATACATCCCGGAGGAACTGAACGTAAACGGGCACCGACGGCATAGACGGCGGTGGCTGGAAGAACTCAGATGGCAAGCGGAGAGTGGTGCCATAGACTAGCTCCGCGGAACTGCACTGGAACTCCTCGCGCAGGCTAGCGCGAATGCCCAGCAACACCAGGGGCATCATCGCATTCCAGGCACCAGGATGAGGGTGGCACTTCAGACCAGCCTTTAGGTGGCGGTGGAAATGCTCGACGAGGCCATTGCATTGTGGACGGTAGGAAGTTGTCCGAGTCCGGCAGGTGCCGAGCAGGGCCAACAAGTGGCGGAAAAGCGCGGACTCAAACCGGGCGCCACGATCTGTGGTGACGACAGATGGGACGCCGAAGCGGGCAATCCACCCAGCGATGAAAGAGGTGGCAACTGTTTCCGCGGCGGCGTCCTTGATCGGAATGGCCTCTGGCCAGCGGGTAAAGCGATCCACTCAGGTCAGCAGATAGGTGCAACCACCGGAGGGAGGCAAAGGGCCGACCAAATCAATGTGGATGTGGTCAAAGCGCTCATCGGGTGGCAGAAACTGGCCAAGCGGAGCCTGGGTGTGGCGGGTCACTTTGCTCAGCTGACAGGAGGGGCAGCAGCGGGTCCATTCCCGGACGTCCTTTTGCATGCCGGGCCAGACGTAGCGTGCCGAAACCATACGCTGAGTGGCACGAATACCCGGATGTGCAAGGGAGTGCAGGCTGTTGAAGACGGTCTTGCGAAAGGACAACGGTACAAACGGGCGGGCAGTGCCGGTCGACATGTCGCACACCACAGGCTGGGTAGCGGAACCGTACGGGATTGGCTGAAGCTTCAGAGACGACTGCGTGTCTTGCTGAGCGGAGAGTAGCTCGGGATCAGACTGCTGGGCGGCTGCCAGAGCCGGAAAGTCTACAGCGGCCAGCGGCGCGGTTACTGCATCAACACTGGCGCGAGACAGAGCGTCAGCAACAACATTGTCAGCCCCACGCAGGAAGCGGAGATCCGTCGTGAATTCAGCCACGTAGGACAGGTGCCGGAGCTCACGAGGTGAGTGGCTAGTACCAGCAGCTTGCATGGCGAACACTAACGGGCGATGGTCCGTGAGAATGTGGAAGCAGCGGCCTTCCAGGTGATGCCGGAAATGCTTTACTGCCAGGTACGCAGCTAGCAATTCTCGACCAAACGTGCTGTAGCGACTCTGAGCTGGTTGCATTCGTTTGGAAAAGAAAGCGAGCGGCTGCCATGTCCCATCAACAAGCTGTTGAAGGGCCCCACCAACTCCGACATCTGATGCATCCACAACGAGCTGGAGGGGTGCATCCGGGATGGGGTGGATGAGCAGCGTTGCTGCAGCAAGCGCGTCCTTGGCAGCATGGAATGCCGTGACAGCGGCAGTGCCAAGTTTCAGGGGACAGTTCTTCGGACGCTGAGGTCCACCAAGCAGATCCGTCAGTGGTTGGAGGATGTCGGATGCCTGGGGAATAAAGCGCCGGTAAAAGTTGACCATGCCCAGAAACTCGCGAAGCTGGCGGCGAGATGTTGGAAGGGAGTACTGAGCCACGCCGTCGACTCTTGCCGGTAGCGGGCTGATGCCCTGGGCGTTAACCAGATGGCCCAGAAACGTCAGGGACGGCTGGCCGAAAACGCACTTAGCGGGGTTGATCACCAAACCATGCTGCTGCAGGCGCTCAAACACCAGGCGCAGATGTTGCAGGTGCGTAGCGTGGTCGGAGCTGGCGATTAGGAGGTCATCGAGGTAGACGTAGCAGAAATCCAGGCCATGCAATACTGAATCGATAAACCGCTGGAATGACTGTGCCGTGTTCCGGAGGCCGAAGGGCATCCTGATGAACTCAAATAACCCGAACGGAGTCGTGATGGCAGTCTTGGGAATGTCGGCCGGGGTTACTGGTATCTGGTGATACGCTCTGACCAGATCCAGTTTCGAAAACACTGTAGCACCATGGAGACTGCTGGTGAAATCCTGAATATGAGGAATCGGATACCGATCCGGTTCGGTGACTTTATTCAGGAGCCGGTAGTCTCCACATGGCCTCCAGTCTCCATTGGGTTTAGGAACCATGTGGAGAGGGCTGGACCAGGGCGAGGAGGATGGCCGAATGATGCCCAGGGACAGCATATGCTGGAACTCAGCTCTGGCCGTTGCCAGGCGGTCTGGAGCCAGCCGACGAGTGCGGGCATGCAGTGGCGGGCCGGTAGTCACAATATGGTGCTCCACCGAGTGCTTGACCGGGAGGTCATAACAGCATGGTTTGGTGAGGCTTGGGAACTCGGCAAGCAGGTCGGTGAATGCTGGTGCTGTGGCCACCGGGGCGGACACCAAGGAGCAGCTGAGCGATGCGATTCCGGCAGGAATGCAATTGACCTGGAGGTCAGTGGAGTTGTCACGGATGGTGCGTCCATGAAGGTCGACTTGGAGACTGAACCGATGGAGAAAATCAGCCCCCAGGATCGGCTCCTTCACGTCAGCAATGACAAATATCCAAGGGAATGCTCGTCTAAAACCAAGGTCAAGGGTCAAACACCTCTGCCCGAAAGCCGGAATAGCAGAGCCATTAGCAGCGCGGAGCTGACACTGACCAGTCGGATCGACGTGGCGGCGGTGTTCAGAAGTGGCTGGCAGCAGGCTGACGTCAGCACCGGTATCCACTAGGAAACGGGCTCCACTGGTGACGTCACGGACATAGAGGCGGCGAGAGGTAGGTGGGCCAGACACAGGAGCCGCTACTGGCTGGCCGGGGCATTTCCCGACGACCAGGAGCACGGGGCTTCACACCGCCGGGCTTGCACACCAAACTTGCGGTGAAAATGGCATAAACCACTGTTATGCGGTGAGACCGAGCGACTGCGGGGTTGGCCGTGGAAGCGAGAGCGGCCGTGCTGCTGTTTCAGCTCGGTTACAGTAGTCGTCAGGGCGGCAACTTGGTCCCGGAGAGCTGCAATGGCGGCCATTGCCTCTGACTCGCCAGTGTTGCGAACTGCATGTACTGCCGCACTGGGACCAGCTGCCTCCACTATCCTGTCAGCCATTTCTGCCAGATCCTGCAGCGGCAGTGATGCAGGGCAGGATGCTACTATTGACTTGGCCGATCGGGGCAACCGGCTGACAAACAGCTCCCGCAATAGTTTTTCGGGCATGGCGTTCTCACCTACCAACTGCTGCAGCTTGCGTAAAAGCTGGGTAGGCTTCTTGTCGCCCAGCTCCGCGTCCGAAATCAGCAAGCACAAACGCTGCTGTTCTGACATCTGCGTGCGGTGAATCAGACGCTCGCGGAGGGTGTCGTACGGCTGTTGAGCTGGAGGATCCAGGATGATGTCACGCACCTCTGCCGCATACTCGGGTGTCAGAGATCCCACCACATACTGATATTTGGTCACCTGGCTGGTGATGCGACGGGTGAAAAACAGGGATTCCACCTGTGCGAACCAAACCTGGGGGTCAGCAGCCCAGTAAGGTGGTAGCTTGACGTTCAAGCTGACCGCGGCCACCTCACTGTCGCGGGCTGTACCGCCTGCTGCGGAAGTTCCAGCGCCCGTGATTCTGGACAGCAGTTGGCCACGACCTACGCTGCGGATAGGTGTGCTAGCTGCGGAGTTTGATGTATTCATACTGTACCAGTGCTCGTAAAATACTAAAATTCAATGCTGCGTGCAGACCACTGAGCGATCGCGAGTGATCGAACACTAGACGGGGTCACCAATTGTAGCAGTGCGCTACGTAATTCTATACAAAAGTCTGGATTCGTGAATTTAGAACTAACTTCGAACAATTGAATCTGGTGTCATAACTAATGTTACTTTGTAGATTACAGAGAGGACAGAAACATTACTGTTCGGCTCACAACCAGAGAGAGAGAGAGAGAATGGAAGCAAGGCAAAAGGCAAGGAGCGGCGAATTCTGCTCACCTGCTTGCTGAATACGGTGTACGGTACAACTATACCATAAGCCAAATGATAAGGGAAGGCCAGCGGCGCACTGGAATCTAGTTGCTCGGGATCTCACCGCATCTCTCCTGCGTGAAGTGGCCCATGATGTCCAGGTCGAGCCACATCTCCAGCCGCTAACCGGTGAGACCTTCCGTCACCGCTCCGCCATCTCCGAGGACGGTGCCCGTCTGGATGTGGCCGCATCGGGTGTCTGGGGTGGACGTTTCGAACGGGCACTACTGGACATCCGGGTATTCAACCCGCACGCCCGCTCCAACCGCCAACAGTCCATCACAGCCACCTACCGGAAGCATGAGGCCGAGAAAAGGCGCGCGTACGAAGAACGCGTCCGGGAAGTTGAACACGCGTCTTTTTCTCCCATTGTGTTCAGCGCTTCCGGCGGCTACGGCAAGTCCGCCTCCGCTTTTTTCAAGCGTGTCGCCTCTATGCTCGCCGACAAGAGAAAGGAGCCCTTCTCCTCACTTCTTGCCTTTATTAGGTCAAGGGTTTCCTTTTCTCTTGTTCGTGCCTCCAATGCCAGCCTCCGTGGTCACCGCAGGCCACGGTCTCAAGATGCCCGCCAGAGAGTCATTGACTCTGATGCTTCTGTGGTCCTTGCTGCTGCAGAGTGCTTTCGGTAACTATCCGTGGTGTGTTTGGCTACTGTTCTGCTTCAGTACCCCCCCCCCCCACTTTTTCATGATTTTGCATGTTATCGTTTTCTCGGATTCCGGTTTTCCACTCTGTTATGTTCGAATCCATAGTCTGTTTAGTTTGTACACGATTTGTACGCAACTTCTCATTGTTTTTTTTTTTTTTTTTTTTTTTTTACCAGGCGTGGGCCATCCCCTGATCATAGGTGCCAAAAAAAAAAAAAAAAAAAAAAAAAGGAATCTAGTTGTACACAGCTGTAGTACGCATGCAAAAAAGGATAATACGGTGCGGAAGTGAACGGCGCATGCTGATACGGTAAAGCGGTCGTAATACATATAAGTGTGACCGCGAGACAGGAGAATTTCATGAAGCCAATAATTATGAAAATTTCATTGAAACCGAAGTAAATCAGGTCATGTGACCGAGAATCCGCTACAGAACTCGTGTTTTGCGCTTGCTCATACGACGCACACCTCAGCACTCGCGTAAAAATATTTTGTTCTCACGGTGGAATTTGGTCGAGAAAAGAAGCCCTCGCGAAGGTCTCTGGATCGGTTCTGG